ACAACAGAAACTTACTCCTCAGTTCTGAAGGCTGCAAAGTCTAAAATCAAGGTGCTGGTCAATTTGCTTCCTGCTTTGCAAAGGAATGCCTTTTTGCTGTATCTTCATAGGTGGAGAGGGAGCTCATCTCTCCAGGGTCTCTCTTTATAAGGGCACTAATTCCATTCATGGAGGCTCCACCCTCATGACCTAATTACCTCCCAAAGGCCCTGCCTCTAAATATCATCTCATTGGGAGTGGGTGCTTCAACATAGGAATTTTTCAGGAACATAACACTAGTCTATAGTATGTCTCCTTTGTGCCAGATACTGTTGCAGGAGCTGAGGATCCACACAGCCTGGACAGAGACTCCCCTGCAGTGAGGGCTGTGTGAGAGGCAGTGGGAGACGGAATGCCACCGTGCACTGTCACAAGCATAATACTCAACTTGCCTGGAAGGAGCCTACTAATTGGAAAGCCATGAAAAGTTAAATCCCCATACCTTAAAGAGTTAAATCATGCTTCCAGACCGAGCAGATGCCCTGGGGCAGAACAGCTCAGGAGAACCCTGCAGCAAAGAGGGCTGGTTCACCACATCCATTTTGTACTGAGCACACTATGATTACCAAGCCGACAAATGTTTGTCATTAAGAGAAATTTCAACACCAGGGAATGTGCATTCCCACCACAATGGGTTAAGAATAGGGGTACACAGCTATTCAGTTACATGTGGCTGGGAAGCCAACACACGTGTCCATTTAGCACCAAGCACCTAAGGAGGGAGGAATTCATGTGCTGACTGTCTGAGGACGCTCTCTTGCTCCAAAGCCTACAGAGATCTGGAAGAGCAAGGCTGTTTCAGCTTCATCCTTGGTCAGTCACATGCTCTCCTTCCCCTAAATGCCTCAGATTCCAGCAAAGCTCGTGAGAAGCCTCCAGCACCCCTGCACACAGAGAGGCACAGAAGAGGCATCGGCCTCTGCCAGACCCTTGCGGCAGTTTCTAGACATGTCCAGTAAAAGGTACGACATACTCTGGTAAAGAACTGGGCAGTCAAATGTTCCCTTGTGATACTCACTATCCAAAAAGGACAGATATCAAATGCAGTAAAAGGAAAGACTACTACTGTACCTTATCTGATCCAAAACAAAGTCAAAAAAAAGTAGACTTGTCAGATCAGACAATATACAATGATACTCCACATTTTGGACACTCACTGTTCCCAGAACCTCTATCTTTCGGAGAGGAACTGAGTCTAGCTTCATCATGTTGGCAAAATCCCATCCCCTGTCTAGCCTCTATTACCTCATAAGCCACCAGATCAAATCCCTAAGTTTGGGAATAGAAGAGTTTACCATGAAATTCCTATATCAGCTTTCACTAAGACTCACACAGTAAAACATTTTGAAAAAGCCCAACAAAACCACAGCTTCTCCAGAGAAAGCTGAAAGATGCTTCAAAGTAAGAAAAGCATACAATAATAGAATAAGAAAATTGCTGATTTTTCTTTACTTTTTAACCCTCTGTGAAAAGAAGTGGTATTTGTAAAATTATACACAACTAGCTGAAGTCTGAGCAGGGCTAAATCCTAACTTAAAATCCTCAGAAATCAAGATCTCCTCTATGGCTGGGCAGCCCTAAAGCGACACATTAGGTGAACATTAAGCCTTATGGGCATCAGTTCTTGCATTTGAAAGATGAAAAGGAAGATAAATTGATAATTTCCATACTTACCACCATAAAGATTTTACTCCCACAGCTGAAAAGATGTTAACTGTACAATGAAATTTATCTTTCTTCAAACACACCCATACTCTAAAACCCTGCTACCCTCGTCCCCCGCTTTTTTTTTTTTTTTGAGACAAAGTCTCACTCTGTCGCACAGGCTGGAGTACAGTGATACCATCTCGGCTCACTGCAACCTCCGCCTCCTGGTATGCGGTTCTCCTGCCTCAGCCTCCTAAGTAGCTGGGACTACAGGCATGTGCCACCACACCCAGCTAATTTCTGTATTTTTAGTAGAGACAGAATTTCACCATGTTGGTCAGGCTGGTCTTGAACTCCTTACTTTAAGTGATCCACCTCCCAAAGTGCTGGGATTACAGGTGTGAGCCCCCATGCCAGTCCTTCCGTTCCCTTCTTCTAGAACGCCTTGCCTGTGTTTCCATTCCCACTGCTGTATATAACCAACACTCGGCCTCAGGTATTATCTTAGTCTGTGACCAATTTAACTGTACATGTCAAAATATTCCTCCAATGTCAGTAACCCAAAGGGAAATACATTTCTTTTTTAAGATGGATAGCATAATATAACAAACACTGATACACCTATAACCCAGTTCAAGAAATACTGCAAGGCCGGGCGCGGTGGCTCAAGCCTGTAATCCCAGCACTTTGGGAGGCCGAGGTGGGTGGATCACGAGGTCAAGAGATCGAGACCATCCTGGTCAACATGGTGAAACTCCGTCTCTACTAAAAACACAAAAAATTAGCTGGGCATGGTGGCGCGTGCCTGTAATCCCAGCTCCTCAGGAGGCTGAGGCAGGAGAATTGCCTGAGCCCAGGAGGCGGAGGTTGCGGTGAGCCGAGATCGCGCCATTGCACTCCAGCCTGGGTAACAAGAGCGAAACTCAGTCTCAAAAAAAAAAAAAAGAAATACTGCAAAACAACAGTGGAAGCCCTGAGGCACGAATTCCCAATCACATTCCCACTCTTTCCATCAGAGGCAACCGCCACCTGGAAACCAGGGCTCATTAGCTCCAGGCAGCTCCTCCTCCCCCCACACAACAGACATTCTTATGCTCTGCAGCACTGTTCCACGTGATCTTCCTAACCTTTCCATAAGTGGTATTCTCAACACAATCAGTCTGTAACTAATTTCTTGCTCAATTTTATGCTTGTGAGAGTAATCCACATTGACACCTGTATTTCTAGCTCTTTTGTTTACCACTGCATAATATTCCATTATATGAATACACTACATATTTGGCCAAAGACGCTGCTTGATGTTTCATATGCCATGTAGTGCCTACTAGTGTCCATGCCACTATGGAAAATGTGCCAGCCGTTTTCCATAATATTCTCTAGAATCCTCACAACCACCTAATGAGGAAGGTACAATTCCCACTAGACCAAAGAGGAAACTAAGGAAGGGAAGGGATGCAGCTTGTCCAACACGTGAGCAACAGACTCCTGCTTCAAGTTCAAGTCCATCCAAGTTTAAAGCCACACTCCTGACAATATGCCTTGTAACCCTGCTTATGTAGATTCAGATTTTTTTTAAATGAAAAAAACTGACAGAGGAATCTACAGTCATCTGGGAAAAGTCTGAAACACAACACTCTATTTTCTTTAACAAACACCCCACAGGAAATTCATCCGACACAGGGACAGCCCATATGTACACTGAGGAAAAGCCTGTCTTTGGCAAAGGTCCCCACCACAGGCCCATTCCCAAGTTTACGCAGGTGCTCTCTAAGTAACCCTGAGTAGGACTGCAACCTGAGTTGGTTTCCTTTGGGGAAACAGGCTGTCTGCACCCGCTTACAGACAGGACAGGGGAGCCCGAGAGAACACGGGAATCAGATCCTTCTTGAATTGGCAAAAGCTGAGTCGACAAAGCTCTAAGAACATCTCCCAGGAGCAGCTCCAGCTGTTGGCAGCTCTGGGGATCTGAGGAGCTGTCCTGAGCTCACAAGGCCAGGTGCTTGCCTGCTCTGCTCTATGTGTGGCCAGCTTCGTCACTGCTTTCATACACCCCAGACCAACCCTGCTGCCCTGGAGAAAGTCCAACGTGCGATACGGAAGAAGAGTCAGTGAGGGTGGAGACTCACAAGAACCAGGCAGGGAGCAGAGCCTGTAGAAAGGACACCCAGCTCCAGGCCTGCACCCCAGATCCCTCCAAGTGCTCAACGCAGGTGGGCCCCTAGGAGGTGACAGTTTAGTCCCCCGGGACTCCCAAGGGCAGGGAAGGCCTCTCAGCACCAAGACTCCTGCCTCTACTCTCCCACTTCTACACTGTATCTCCCACTGTGTCTGTTCGCTGGAGGATTAATGGAGCCTCAAAGGAGCAAGGCGCAACTGGCTGAAGCGACCCCCTCCCAACTCTCCCAGACAAAGCAAGGAGCAAGAAAACAGGCCTGCCACCTACTGGCTGTGCGCCCTTGGCGGAAGCATCCCTGCCCACTCCGGAGAGAAACGCAGTGGCCTGTCTCGAAGGGCCCGTCATCTCTGACTCTTTCTGTCCATAGGGCTAAAGGCACCGTGGCTCACCCCTGGCTTCCCAGCACTTTGGGAAGCTGGTTGGGGAGGAGGGTTTGAGCCCAGGAGTTCGAGACTAGCCTGGGCAACATAGTGAGACCCCCGTTTATTAATAAACATCAAAAATTTTTTTGATTAGTCAGGCGTGGTGGCCCAAGCCTGCGGTCGCAGCTACTCGGGAGGCTGAGGGGGGAGGATCGCATGAGGCCAGGCACGGAGGCTGCAGTGAGCCAAGATCGCGCCCCTGCACTCCACCCTGGGCAACAGAGCAAGATCCTGTCTCTGAAAGAATAAGTAAATAAAAATAAAACAAATGCACTAATACTGAGCAGTTTAGAGTACGATTCATTCAATCCCAACACCCCAGAGGCAGGTACTGCTGCTCTCCCTTGTCCCAGAGACCGAGGCGCCAAGGTCACGGCCGCAGCCCTAAAGGAGCCCCGGGGGGCAGAAGGCCGCGCTCGTGGGTGCCCGGGGGGGCCGCACAGGGCACCCGCGGGGCGGCGGGGGGACCGCGGAGAGCGGCCCGCGAGAAGGCGGAGGGCCACGACGGGTCGCGGCGCCCGAGGCGGGAGGCAGGGCCCGGGGGCCCCCGCCAGGCCGGCCGCAGCCCAGGTGGAGGGGACGGGAGCGGGGCGGGATGGGCAGCGGCGGGAACACGCGGGCGGCCGCGCGCCGGGGCGAGGAGGCCGCGGAGGAAGGAGGCGGGCGGCGCCGGCGCGCGGCCGGGGCGGGCGGCGGGGGGCGGCGCGCGGTCCCACCTTGAGCACCGTGACGGCCCCCGCGGTGCGCACCTGGAAGTGCGCGGGCGGCTCGGCGCCCGGCTCCGCCGCCTCGTCGGGGCCCTGGTAGCTGAAGCAGGCGTCGGCGATGTCCAGGTGGCCGAGGGGCAGCGCGTCCTGCGGGCTCTTGAAGTAGTAGAGGTAGCAGCGGCGCGCGTCGAACACGAACCAGCGGCTGCGGTAGCCGCGCAGCGGGCCCTTGCCCGACAGCTTCTGCAGGTAGCCGCACAGCCGCGCCGGCTCCCGCGCGGGACCCGCCCCGGGCTCCGCGGCCGCGCCCTCGCCGCCGCCGCCGCCCTCGGCCTTCTTCCGCCCGGGCTCCGGCCCCGGGCATCCCTACCGCGAGCCGGCCGTCGGCGCCCACGCCCGCGCCCGCGCCCGCGCCCAGCGCCTCCGCCCCGCGGCCGCTGCGCCCCTGCCCCTCCGCGCCGCCCCGCCGCGGCGCACGGCCCGCGGGCGCGCAAAGCAGCCTGGGACTTGTAGTCTCGCCCCCGCCCGCCCACTGGCCGCTGCCCCCGCAGCCCCGCGGGTCGGTGGCCTTAGTGCTACGTGGGCTCCGAGTCCCCGCCCCGCCGGGCGAAGCGATGGTCTGTTTCTTTACGGCGGTGTAGGTACGTGGGAGTGTGCATCTCTCAAAACCCAACGGAGTGTCGACTTAAAACCGCGTTTCACGCTGTGTACCTTATTCTAAAACACTGGATTTTTAAGTCTCCCTCCTGCCAGAGTCTCCAGCTAATATTGTAAAAATGAGACAGCCTATTGCCTCGTGCTGAGTAAATATTTGCAGAATTCACGGGAGCCAACGCGTTTCCTGTCTGTCCAGACCTCAGTTCATTCATTGAATTCACCATATGTTTATCGAGCGCCTTCTGAATGCCAGGTATGGCTCTGTAAGCCAGGCCCTGGTGGATACAGCAGTGAACAAACCAGTCATTCTTCTGCCCTCGTGGAGATTATATTCTAAGGCAAAGAAGTGACACACAAGAAAGCAGGCAAGTGTAACGTGTGCTATGTTGTATAAATGCCGTGATGGCATGTAAATGATTACCAGTTAAAATAGCACCTAGTACTTATCAGTGCCTCATAGATTAACTTATTTGAACTCTCACAACCTCAAAAGGCAAATCTATGGCTTTGTAATAAAGCAAAGAGAATGAATAAGACCAAGTATTTGCCAGCACAACAGGGTGACTAGAGTCAAAAATAATTTGACTGCACATTAAAAAATAACCACAGGAGTGTAATTGGATTGTAGCACAAAGGATAAATGCTTGAGATGATGGAACCCCTACTTACCCTGATATGATTATTATACATAGCATGCCTGTATTAAAAAAAATCTCATGTAACCCAGTCAGGCATGGTGGCTCAAGCCTATAATCCCAGCACTTTGGGAGGCTGAGGCGGGTGGATCACAAGGTCAAGAGATCGAGACCATCCTGGTCAACATGGTGAAACCCTTGGCCGGGCGCGGTGGCTCAAGCCTGTAATCCCAGCACTTTGGGAGGCTGAGGCGGGTGGATCACGAGGTCAAGAGATCGAGACCATCCTGGTCAACATGGTGAAACCCCGTCTCTACTAAAAATACAAAAAATTAGCTGGGCATGGTGGCGCGTGCCTGTAATCCCAGCTACTCAGGAGGCTGAGGCAGGAGAATTGCCTGAACCCAGGAGGCGGAGGTTGCGGTGAGCCGAGATCGCGCCATTGCACTCCAGCCTGGGTAACAAGAGCGAAACTCCGTCTCAAAAAAAAAAAAAAAAAAAAAAAACTCATGTAACCCATAAATATATATACTTACTATGTTCCCACAAACATAAAAAATAGAATTAATGAAAAGCAAAGTGAGAGGATGAGGTGATGGGGGGCGGATAACTGGCTGCTCCCCCAGGACAGGCAAGGAGGCGGGTCTGATCCTGTGATAGGGAGCACAGACTTGGATGATGGGAGGGACCGGATCGACCAGAGATGTGAAGGAAGCATTCCAGGCAGAGGGACCAGTGAGTACAAGAGCTCACTTTATTCAAAGGAAAAAGGAAGTGTATAGCTACATTTGTGAGGGCCCAAACCAAATATCTCACCCTCATAGATTTGCATGTTTTATACAGACACAAAGACCGGGTGGAAAACTGACCTTTCTGAGCTAGAAAGGGACACAAATTAAGACTGCCTGTTTGGAGCCACCCAGGTAGGAAGGGCAGGCTCTGGGGCCTCACCCAGCTTGCTGACCCTCTGCAGGCCCTACATTGCCACCACACAGGTGCCCCTGTCCTGGCGCCCGTCGGAGGTCTGGCTGGGGTGGCCACAGCAAGGGCCATCGTAGCCCTCTCCAGCTGTGGTTGAGCACAGTCAGCACAATGTTAAGGACTGGGCTCTGACTTCGTTCTGACCAGAGGTGCCTCCCAGCTCTGCCACTTACCAGAGGCATGGCCTTGGCCAAGTGATTTAACCTCTCTGGGCCTCAGTCTCTTCATTTATAAAATGGGGTTGATAAATACATGTAGCTGTCTCATCCTGTTGTTACTGGAAGGATTGCATGAGAAATACATATGAAGGTGCTTAGCAACGCTTAGCACACTTAGTAAGCACTCAGATTATTATCATCATAAAGTTAACACTGATGTCTTCCTCATCAGTCAGCAGATTTGGAGAGGGGGGAATCTAAGAGTCAGACCAGTCCCAGACGAGGGAGGTCAGAGACTACGGTGCTTCAGGAGCGGGGTGGACTGCTCTTGGGAATAAGGAGTCCAAGTTCACTTTGGGCCTCACCGTGTATGTAAAAGGGGCTGTGATTGGCTTGTGGGATAGGCAATCAGGGTGGACTATGACCTTGAAATATTGTTGGACAGGGAAGAGCTGGGAGAACTGGGTCTGTATTGGCACAGTACCGGCAGGCAACGAGACAGGGCAGAGTGTAGCCCATCTCTCCTAGCTCTATCAATAAGTTAGGAGGAAGTGAGGGTGGCCATGACCTGTGGTCCCAGTAGACAGGACCAAGCCCCATCAGGTATCTCCTGGGGGCTGATGTCTGCTAGGCTGGAGGAAGGCATCCTTCACAGGCACAAGGCACAAGCCCAGCTCCCAGAATGAAAGTTTGGGCTGGCTGGCCTGGGCTAGGCAGATGGGATGGGACAAGGGGCCTCTGCCCGTCCTGGAGCTGCTGTCTGTGCCCCTCAGTGGGCAAGTTGGATCTCAGCCTGACTCCCCTACCCCTGAGCCCCCAATCCTTCCCTGGTCACCCAGCATAGACGAGCTGGGGCCATTTTAAAATACGCTTGCAGGGCTGGGCACAGTGGCCCACGCCTGTGATCCCAGCACTTTGGGAGGCTGAGGCAGGTGGATCACCTGAGGTCAGGAGTTTGAGACCAGCTTGGGCAACGTGGTGAAACCTCATCTTTACTAAAAATACAAAAATTAGCTGGGCGTGGTGGCAGGCACCTGTAATCCCAGCTACTCGGGAGGCAGAGGCAGAAGAATTGCTTGAGTCTGGGAGGTAGAGGTTGCAGTGAACCAAGATTTCACCACTGCACTCCAGCCTGGGCAACAGAGTGAGACTCTGTCTCAAAATAAATAAATAAATATAAATAAATAAAATACTCGCAGGCCGCTGCCCTCCGCCTTCTGGAGGCGACACCTTATATCAAATCAAACATGTGAGGCCTGGCGCAGTGGCTCAAGCCTGTGATCCCAGCACTTTGGGAGGCCGAGACGGGTGGATCATGAGGTCAAGAGATCGAGACCATCCTGGTCAACATGGTGAAACCCCATCTCTACTAAAAATACAAAAATTAGCTGGGCATGGTGGCGCGTGCCTGTAATCCCAGCTACTCAGGAGGCTGAGGCAGGAGAATTGCCTGAACCCAGGAGGCGGAGGTTGCGGTGAGCCGAGATCGCGCCATTGTACTCCAGCCTGGGTAACAAGAGCGAAACTCCGTCTCAAAGAAAAAAAAAAAAATCAAACGTGAAAATGTCCTACATCCCGTAATAAATATATGCGTAATTTTTGCTATAAAACTATTGCAGGAATATCTGTAATTGCACTCTTGATATTATCCAATTCTGAGTTCTCATTTTAATTTGTAAGTGGCTGATTTCTTGGCAATCATCGTGTCTATGTGGGAATTTTGGCCAAGTGAGAGAAACGTAACCTAGAAATTGTTCTCAAACGTAATGACTTTTTTTTGAGATGGGTCTCATTGTGCCTACACAATGGGTAGGCTGGAGTGCGGTGACGCGGTCTCGGCTCACTGCAACCTCCCGCTGCTGGGCTCAAGCGTTCCTCCCACCTCAGCCTCCTAAGTAGCTGGGACAACAGGTGTGCACACCGCCACACCCAGCTAATTTTTGTATTTTTCATAGAGATGGGTCTTTGCCATGTTGCCCAGGCTGGTCTCAAACTCCTAGACTCAAGTGATCCTCCTACCTTGGCATCCCAGAGTGCTGGGATTAAGGTATGATGCCGTGGTGCCCAGCCCGGTTATGACATTTTTATGATGACTATAAAGGTGACATGTTACATTTGTAGACATTTAATTAATGTTCATTAATTCTAATTTTGCTCTTTTTCTTGGGTTATAGAGCGAATAGATTTTTCTTAGGCCACAAACATTTCACAAGCAGGCGGGCCCAGGCACCGAGCCAATTAGAATCCTAAGGGGTAAACTGGCCTGGCCCCTGCCTGGGTCTGGCTGGGTCCAGAATGTGGCCCTGTAAGGAGACTGCACAGACACAGGCCGGAGTCCCCAGTGAGAGTGGTGAAATATGGAGGCCTTGAAACCAACAGCAACGTCTCAGGAGGGTCCCCTGGAGGCCCCTGAGCCTCTGTCTGCACGACCAGGCTTGGGAAGTGTCCCAAGCCTTCTGAGGATCCTCAGAGCCTCCAGAATCAACCCCAAAACCCTCTTGACTCTCGAGCCCTCCCCAGGCCCCTCTTCCCCACTGACTCTCTCCAGGCCCTGCTGGAATGCCTTTATTTCATGGACAAACCCTTTTCCCTCATTCCTAGGGCCATGAGCTGAAGGGAAATAGGCCATGGGGCTTCACCTCGTGTCTTTTAGTACCTCAGTCTTCAATTCGGACAATGTTTATAGTTTATGTAAATAAATATAGCTTCCGTTCCCCCGCAAGGGCCTCCTACATGGAAATTCTGGGGGTGTCTCTGGTGGCTCCTATTTCCCTGGAATCCTTTACAAATGGTTTGTTGACATTTGCAGTTCCTGAGGGCTCTTACGTTAAACAGCAAGGTCCTGTGGTCAGGGCGAGCTGAGTACTTCCCCTGCATCTAAGACAGGCATGAGAGGTGTTGGAGGGTCTGCCCTGCGTGCCCATGGAAGCCCC